TGCTGCGCACGTCCTGCGCATCGGCGGCATGACCTGCGGCCACTGCGTCGGCGCCGTGACGTCGGCGCTCGAGGGCGTCGCCGGCGTCGCCCGCGCCGACGTCGACCTCGAGCGCGGGCTCGCGACCGTCGCGGCGGCGCCCGGCGCGTCGCTGGCGCTGGCGGACCTCGTCGACGCCGTCGAGGCGTCGGGCTTCGACGCGAGCGACGCCGCGGGCGGCGGCGGCGCGGCGACGACGCAGACGCTCGCCGTCGAGGGCATGTCGTGCGGCCAGTGCGAGACGTGGGTCCGCGAGGCGCTCGAGGCCGTCGACGGCGTCGAGGCCGTCGACGTGTCGGTGCAGGACGGCACGGCGGCCGTCGCCGGCGCCGCGGACCCGGCCGCGCTCGCCGGGGCCGTCCGCGCGGCCGGCTACCATTTGGCGGGCGACGCGCCGGAGAAGGGCGCCGCCGCCGCGCGCGAAGAAGCCGTCGCGGCGACACCAAAAGACGGCGACGACGCGACCTGGAGCGTCGTCGAGCTGCGCGTCGAGGGCATGACCTGCGCGGCGTGCGCGTCGCGCGTCGCCAAGGCGCTCCGGTCGCTCGGCGTCGACGACATCTCCGTGAACTGCGTCACGGACGTCGCGACGTTCCGCGCCCTCGGCGCGTCGCCGGCGCTCGTGACACGCGCCGTCGCCGCCGTGAAGCAGGCGGGCTACGCGTCGTCGCCGGACACGGCGCGCGTCGAGGCCGAGGGCGAGAAGGCGGCGAGCGACGACCCGCACGTCGCGAAGACGACGCTCGCGACCAAGGGCATGATCTGCCCGAGCTGCCCGCCGCGCATCCAGCGGGCGCTGAAGCGGCTCGACGGCGTGCGGGACGTCACCGTGTTCCTCGTCCTCGACGCCGTCGAGGTGCTCTACGACGCGCGCATCGTCGGACCGCGGCTTCTGGCGCACCGCCTGTCGCAGCTCGGCTACGACGCGAGCGTTCAAGCCGACGACGATGGTGTGGACGTCGCCGGCGAGGAGCGCGCGCGGAAGCTGGCGCGCGTCGCCGAGGTCCGCGCGTTCCGGCGCCGCGCGGCCGTCGCGTTCGCGCTCGCGGCGCCGGTCTTCGTGGTCATGATGCTCGTGATCCCCTACGGCGCGCGCGACGCCGTGCTCGCGCTCCAGTCCAACGCGCTCGCGGGGCGGAGCCGCTACCTCGCCGTCGAGGCGCTCGGGTCGCTGCTGCTCGCGACGCCCGTGCAGTTCGTCCTCGGCTTCCGGTTCTACGTCGGCGCGTTCAACAGCCTGCGCTACGGCACGGCGAACATGGACGTGCTCGTGGCGCTGGGCACGTCGGCGGCCTACTTCTACTCGATCTACGTGCTCTACGAGGTCTCGGGGAACCGGCCGTGCTGCCGCAAGTTCCGACAGTGCAGCGACGGCGGCGGCGGCCACGGCCACCACGGGTCCCACGCGGACGACGCGGACTGCGTCTCGGGCCACCACTTCTTCGAGACGTCGTCGGTGTTGATCGCCTTTGTTTTGCTGGGGAAGTTCATGGAGGCCAAGGCCAAGGGCCGGACGTCCGAGGCGCTCCAGGCGCTGCTGAGCCTCCAGCCGAAGATGGCGACGGTGTCGCACACCATGGACGACGGCGGCGACTACGAGGAGGTCGTCGACGCGGGCAGTCTGAGTCGAGGCGACGTCGTCAAGATCAAGCCCGGCGAGGCCGTGCCCGCGGACGGCGCCGTCGTGAGCGGCGAGTCGAACTGCGACGAGAGCATGCTCACGGGCGAGTCCATGCCCGTGGAGAAGCGGCCCGCCGACGACGACAAGGAGGCCGCGGGCAAGGTCTACGGCGGCACGATCAACGCCGGGCCGGGCGTTTTATTTGCGAGAGTTACCGCAGTGGGCACGGAGTCGCTCCTCGCGTCCATCGTCAAGCTCGTGGAGCAGGCGCAGGGGTCGAAGACGCAGATCGAGGCGCTCGCGGACTACGTCGCGCGGAACTTCGTCGCGGGCGTCGTCGCCGTCGCCGTCGCGGCCTTTGCTCTCTGGTTTTCGCTCGCGGCGACGGAGGCGGTGCCCCGGGACTGGTACGACGACGAGGGGCGCTTCCTCTTCGCCTTCCTCTTCAGCATCGCCGTGCTGGTCGTCGCGTGCCCCTGCGCCTTGGGGTTGGCGACGCCGACGGCGGTCATGGTGGGCACGGGCCTCGGCGCGCGCTACGGCGTGCTCATCAAGGGCGGGCGGCCCCTCGAGGTCGCGCACAAGGTGTCGGCGGTGGTCTTCGACAAGACGGGCACGCTCACGCGGGGCCAGCCGGACGTGTCGTCCGTGGACGTCTTCGCCACCTCGTCCGCGCAAAAGGCGTCGCTCGCGGCTTCGCTCGGCGTCGCGGACGACGGCGACGGCGACGCGCTCGCGGACGCGCTGCTGGACGCCGTCGGCGTCGCCGAGAGCGGCTCGGAGCACCCGCTCGCGTCCGCGCTCGTCGCCACGGCCGCGGAGGCGCGGGGGCGGCGGGGCTGGCGGGGCCCGCGATTCCGCGTCGTCGCCTTCGACGCGCTCGTCGGCCGGGGCGTCTCCGCGGCGCTGCGACGCGCGGACGACGCCGCGGCGCCGGAGCTCGTGCTCCACGTGGGCACGCGGGACCTCGTCGCCGCGGCCGGCGGCGGCCGCGGCGCTCTCGGGCCCGAGCGCGACGCGCGCGCCAAGGCCCTCGAGGCCGACGGCGCGACGGTCGTCTTCGTCCACGCGGCCGTCGGCGGCCGGCGCCTCGTCGCCGACGACTTCAAGGCGACGGCGAAGAAGCCGCCGCCGGCGGGGTCGGGGGACGTCGTGGGCATGATCGGCGTCGCCGACATTATTAGGGACGAGGCCGCGCGCGTCGTCTCCCACCTCCAGTCGAACCTGGGCATCGAGGTCTGGATGCTCACGGGCGACAACGAGCGC